GAAGTCATTTGGCGTCAGGATAACATCGGATAGGCTTGTGTTAATAAAATTTTTGTGGCTCTCTCATAAAAAATTCATTTTGATCTTCGACTCTCAGTCTGGTTAGCGGCTTGCTAAAAACTGAGTCATATTGGGACTTGAGTAGCTCACTCATTTCCTTGCTGTCATCTGTGTAGGACCCATCTTGTTTTAAGTAGGGGCCCAATACTGGACGTTGTTCTCGATTTTGATTTGGCATAGGAGAAGAAATACTTTGGGTTTCTTTCGATTTCATTTATGGGTTTTAGTTCTTCCCGCGATTCCTGACTCCTAAAGGATTCTTTTAGCTTAAGTTCGATGCTTGCTATTTCTCTGACCAGTGTCTCCCTACGCATTTCAGATATATTGACCTCTTTTAGCCGCTCTGTTATTCTTTTCCGTCGCCTGTAAAGGAGCGCCTGTCTCTTTCTGTTTTACATCTACTCCTCCTTTTTCTTTGAGGAATAAGCCTTGTGCATACATCGAGTGCCACCGAGTTAATCTGTTCTAGGCATAAGTTGGGGTCTGTGTTGCTTAGTATATCTTCCCAGCTTATATCGGTTAGACTTGGTTTACTTGGTCCCACTTTATGTTTTTGTTATTGAAGTTGAATTTGGTGAATGCTCCCTCGTGACTAATCTCATTATGTCGGTCTGGGCTCCGCGCATACATGACTGAACCTCAATTATTTGTGATCTGAGTATTTTTGTTTTTGATATGGTGATATTTCTTATCAGATCATCATTGTTAGTGAAGATGAGGTCTAGTGTATTCTCCAGTCTAGTAGGCTCTATTATTTGCTGGTTTAAATTGAATTTTGTGCAGAGATTTAAAAGCTCGCGTGAGTGTGAGTTTTCATCAGAGCTGCCTCCTGGTGTTATTACTGCAACAATATATTTGCTATATTCCTCCATTTTAGGTGCCTTAAGTTGAAATCCCCCAGGAGCAAGATGTTGGGTGCAGGAGCTGGAAGGTTTTCCAGACAGTGGTCAATTTTTAACAGCTTTTTCGGGAATTGGGGGGATTTTTGCTTCCGGGGGGGGGGCTGTAACTATCACAATGACTAGGTTTTGGTTCTCAAACCTTTTACTGCTAAAAACTTCCCACCCCTATTTAAAGGCTTTTACCCAGTTTTTGTGCAAACAAGTGATTTTCTGCAATGTCCCGGGCCAAACCCCCCCCTTTTTGCTTTTCATTTCTTTTCACATCTGTATAGGTTGAAACCCGGGGGATCCAAAATTTGTTGTACAAGTGACCCTTTATGTGGGTCTCAGTAAAACCCCGCAAACATTCCCTTTTGGGCCTCTGAAAAGCGCCCAAGGGGTAAAAGGGGTATTTTGTTTTGTTGCTGGCTTTAGACCCTTTTATTTTTGGCAAAGAAAAATGTTATGGGACGGGGTGGTATTTTTTGGTACTGGGGGGGGGTTTTTTTTTTTCCGGCTTTTAGTATCTGTATCTTTTGGTTTGGAGTGGAGGCCATGACTGTGGTTCCACCCCAGGAAGAGGGAATTTGGTAAAAACGATTTCTGCTTTTCCCCTCCATTTTTTTTTCCTTCCGGGCACTAAAAAACAGGGGAAACTGGGGGGAATCATGACGGGAAATGTTAAAAGCAGGGGGGGATATAGTGTTGGAGGGGTTTGGGAATTTTGGGTTAAAAAGGTACCAAGGGGGGAAAAAACCTAGGGAATTGGGGGAAAGAGCATGTATATCCCTTTATTTTAAAGGGGAAAAGGGGGGTAAAAGAGATTGAAAAAAAATTTATAGGGGAAATTTAATTTTAACCCCGAGTATACCAGGAAAAGTTTTAGGGAAAGGGGTTATAATTAAAAAGAATTAGAGGAAAGACAGAATGTAGGATTCGGAGGGAGCAGGGGGGCCCTTCAAAGTGGGTAGGGTTTTGTTAGATAAAAAGGGTTTACATTAAAGCATATATGTAAAACAGTATTTAGATAAAGGTACGGAAGTTTTTATTGCTTTTTGGATTTAAAAAAGGGCAAATTAAGTGGATAGGGGAGCAATGTGGCAGAAAGTTTTCAAGTATATGGAAAAAGGGGGTAAGTTTTTCTAAATGCTGGAAAAGAGCTTTTATGAGGATAGTGAGGCCAGGTTGGGGTGTGTAAAGAGAGGGAGAATACTTTCCGTAAAAGTGGCCTTAGAAGGGATGTGAATGTCCCCGGGTTTGTTTAATATTTTTTTAAGAGGGGGGTTAAAAAGAAGAAAAATGCTAGGTGTTTGGGAGGGGGGTGGTTTAAAATTTGGGGGAATCAATTCAAAAGGGGAAGACACAGTTACTTTTTGTGATTACGTGCTTAGGGGAGTTTTAAAAAAATTGAAAAGGTTAGGGGATGAGTTTGAGAATTGTGTAAAGGTAAAATTTTAAAGTGAACATAAAAAGAGTAAGGTAGGGGTATCAATGATTTAGATAAGAAAAATTGGATATAAATTGGGGGGGGAGGATAGGAAAAGAAGTGAATTTTTTTCAGCTACTTGGGATTGACGTTCGGCGGATGGATTTAGAAGGAGAGGTTTCATAAAATTTGATGGGGGGAAAAAAGGTGAGGGGCATTGAGGTAAGGGAGTCAAAAACGTTACTAGGGGGGAAAGAAGGGAATGTTTAAAAAGTATAGTAGTCCAAACACCTTTTATGGATTGAAGCTTGGGTGGTAAATGCACAGCGAGGGAGGTTGGGGGCAGTGGAGATGTCCTGTCAAAGGGCAATGGGGTGGTGTAAATTTTATGCAAAAAATTCGGAGTGTGGAAATTGGGAAAAGGTGTGGATTAAAAAACATTATCGGGGGGCAGAAAGGGTTGTTGAGGGGTTTGGTCATTTAGAGAGAATGGATAAAGTAAAATGACATGGAACATATAAACATGGGGAAAGGGAAGGAGGGGTAGGGTCTCCCAAAAGGGTTTTGGAAAGGGGGGGAAAAGGGGTTTTGTGGGCTAGGGGTTTGGACTTCAGCAGGGGTCATGACGGTTGATAGAGGAATGGGGCGAAGTATTTGGGGCCTGAGACTTTGGAGTGTGAGAGGGGAATATTTATGAAGGGATTCGGAAACCCGTTTATTTCATATAGGGACTTTATCCCGGAAATGGGGAATACAATGCCCACTTTAAAGGGGGGTTTGGGGGAAATTTGGGGTTTGGAGGGATATGTAGTGTACCTTAACGTATATGCTTCTAAAGCTTTTATTCTGGCACCTCTGCAAAAACAGTGATAATGTGTGGTGTGGTGAAAGTGTTGAATGATGATGAAAGTATTTCTTTTTGGGGATTTTCTTTTTTTTTTGGGTCACCCCGCCTTGGGGGGGAGACGGCCGACTTTTTTGAAAAAAAAAAAAAGTATTTTTATAAGGGAGTTTTTTTCCTTCATTCCTAATATTAATTAATAAGTTTATTATGAGTACTCTGGCCCCAAAGGTTTTTCTAGTATTTCATTAATTTTATAACCCCTAAAAAAGCAGTGTACAGCCTTTAGGGGCCAGGAACATTTTTTTAAGTTACACATCAAACCTAACAGGGTTTATACTGGTCAGAAAGGCCCCATCGAAAAACCCAGCCGTAAGTAAAAAAAGTGTATGTCACAATGAGGGGAGGCTTGTTAATTCTTTTGGGGAGTTTTTTTGCAGTTTTTCTGTTTGTCCCATTTAAGACATTTTTAAAGGGATTATTCCGGTTTTCATCAAAAATGGTTTCTCAAGGCTCTTGGAACCCAAATTTAAAGGGATAGGGCTGGGATGACTGTACAGGGTGTCCACAAAAACACTCCCTTATTTCACAATATTATGATATCTAAACTAATTCAAATATATTGATAAACCGATTCAAATATATTGTGAACTGATTCTCTAACAACAGTTTTTTCATTTTTTTTCAGGCAATTAGACATCTTTGACCTGAAAACCACAGGGGTGCAAAGAAATCTAAAAATGGTCTGTGAGGTCACTGGACATAACTGTTTATGACTTCTTTCTATGGGGGTATGTGAAGAGCACAGTTTATATACCACCACTACCTGCAACCCTGGAGGAGCTGAAAATTTCAATAACTGAAGCAGTTTGCATGATAATTCCAGATATGCTGCAGAGCGTCTGGACCGAACTGGACTATTGCATCAATGTTTGATGAGCAACCAGAGGGGCACACATTGAGTGCCTTTAATGCTACCCTATACCACATGAAATCCTGCATCTGTGTATCATGTGGTATAGGATAGCATTAAAGGCACTCAATGTGCGCCCCTCTGGTTGCTCGGCAAACATCGATGCGATAGTCCGGTTTGGTCCAGACGCTCTGCAGCAATCTGGAGTTATCATGCGAACTGCTTCAGTGATCAAAATTTTCAGCTCCTCCAGGGTTGCATGTAGTGGTGGTGCATAAACTGTGCTCTTCACATACCCCCAAAGAAAGAAGTCACAAATAGTTTGGTCCGGTGACCTCACAGGCCATTTTTAGATTTCTTTGCACCCCTGTGGTTTTCAGGTCAAAGATGTCTAATCACCTGAAAAATGAAATAACTGTTGTTCGAGATTCAGTTCACAACATGTTTATCAATACAGTGCATCCACGTGCGAGATGTAACTCAGGTTAGCCTACTGTTAGTATCATTTTTAACACTTATTTAAGCTCTGTTTCTACACACAAGGATACAAATGAAATCCCAGAAATCAACAGTTATACAAGTCAGGATAGGAATAAATTATTCAAGATAGAAGTCGCAAATGACATAGTACATCAGAAAATAAGATAGAAACTAAATAAGTCATTGGGCCCTGATGAGCTGGTTTCAAGGGTTCTAAAGGAATGTAAGGAGGAACTTTGCAAACTATTAACATGTCTCTTCAACAGATCCCATTGCTTGGTTGGCAATGCTCTCGCTTCGCACACTGAGCGTTCATGGTTCAATCCTTGACATAGGAGAAAATACTGGACATGTTTCATTACACCTGCTTTCCCTGTTTACTTAGCAATAAGTAGGTACCTGGCTGTTAGTCGACTGGTGTAGGTCACATCCTAGGGTACAAGATTGAAGGACCCCAATGATGCACTGACTTTCTTGGGTTATCTTGGGTGGCTAACCCTCCAGGTTAAAAATCCAAACATATCTTATCTTACCTGAAACATGGAAAATGGCAAATGTAATCTCATTTAAAATGTGGGCAACAGGTCCTTAACTTCAAATTATAGATCAATTAGCCTGACCTCAATGGTGGCAAAGTTGATGGAATCATTACTTTCAGATATACGTAATTCAAAGCGATCTTGAAAGACATAATTTAATTCAAATTCAAAGTTTATTCTCTATAAAGATTACAATGTTGAATTTACAGAATTTGGTTGTTGTGTGGTTTACATGTAGTTAAATAATGATTACAGAGTGTACCACTAGAACGCCTAGCATGGCTAGGCATTTCGGGCAGACTTAGTTTAATTCTTTATTTTAAAATATTACAAATTATGAGGTAAGTTGGTATTATGGCTAAGTGACTAAATACTAGTTTGTGAGTTTAGCAATGTGAATGCTTTTGTTTTGGCACAGTACATAGTTTCAGTATTGGAGTATCATAGGATTCATTATTTTAAGATTGAGATTAATATTTCTGTTTATGGTCAAATGGGTGAGTGAGTGTAAGTATGAACCACCAGGTGGTATTCGTGTAGTTAGTTGATGGGGTGTATCAGGGAGATAAGATGTTTTCTAATGGTAGTTTGAAGGAGATGAATGTGTCTGCACTTCTTGTGTTCTCAGGTAGGGTGTTCCAGATTTTAGGGCCTTTTGAACATACATTGATGTTTGTAAAGGTTTAGTCGGACACGGGGAATGTCGTAGAGAGTTTGTGTCTGGTTCGTTATGCTGTGGTTCTGTCAAAACTATCAATGAAAGCGTTTTAGGTCAAGGTTGATATTGAGTTTAAGGTCCTGTAGATGTAGTTTGCATAGTAGGTAAGTGTGGTATGTACTGAACTGAGTGGGGGGGGGGTGTTGCCAGGGATGGGATTTTAGTGATTATTCTTACTTGCAGCTTTTTGTTGGGTTTTATTGCTTGAGGTGTGTTGCTGCAGTTTGATCCAAGCCACCAAATAGCATAGGTGAGGTTATGGATAATAAGTGAGTGGTATAGTGTGAGAGGGCATTTTGCGGCACGTAGTATCGTATCTTGGAGGGATCCCAAACCGTTTTGGGATACTTTTTTGGTTATGTGTTGGATATGGGAATGCTGAAATTCAGGTTGTTGTCAGGTATAGGCCTAGGAATTTGACCCTCATTATGTCTGGTAATTAGAGTGTTTGTCGATTTAAGTTAATTTGTGCATCTCTGACTCTGCTACCAAAAAATAAATATAGTAGGTTTTTGTCAGTGTTAAGCGTAAGTTTATTGGCCGTCATCCAAGTCGATATTTTGCTCACGCCCCTCATTAACAATGGTGTTGAGGGTGGCAAGAATTAGTGGTGAGAGATGACAATTAAAGTGTGTCGTCAGCAAAGAGAATGGGTTTCAGGTGTTGGGATACGTTTGGAAGTTTCATTGATGTATATGAGGAAGAGCAGGGACAAATGGGACAACTTCCCTGACGGAAATCCAGGAATCAAGTGGCCGTTGTTGTTGATGCTGTGTCTTTAATGGTGAACATACTGATACCTATTAGTAGGTAAGATTTGAAATAAGCAAGCGCATGGCCTCTATCTATACCGTTAATGGTCAATGTTTGTGGACGTCGGATTTGTGATCTACTGTGTCAAAAAGCTTTTCTTAGGTCAATAAAAATTCCTAGTGGATATTCCTATTTCTCAATGCGGTGTAAGCAGATCTAGCATGGGGGATTTTTATGATTGCCTCATTAGTGCTTTTATTTTTCCTGAATCCAAATTGGCAGGGGTTGAGTATGTTTCGTTGCCGTTATATGCATATTAGTCTCCTGTGCACGAGTTTCTCAAAGATTTTGGATAGCTATGTTAGTTTGATATTGGCCTATTGTTGTTTAAGTCTGTAGGGTCACCACCTTTATTGTATGGTGTAACCCTTGCCATCTTGAGTAGTTTTGGAAGTGCTAGTTTCTAGTGACTTGTTAAAAAGTAATGATAATGAGCATTGCGAAAGGGACTTGGGGCCGCTCACTGTGCAGTAATGGTTAGGACATGAGGACAGATTCCCCGAGTTATTTTTAAGTGATTATAATCTCGGTGACTTCGTGGGCCTCAGTTGGTTCATGATAGAAGGTGAATTTGGGAAATTCCCATCTAGGTAGTCCCCGATGGGATTGGTATGTGGGATTTTATTGGCGAGATTAGAATCCTATGGTTGAGAAGAAGTCGTTTTATCTTGTTAGCGCTGTCAGTGGGATGTAGTGTGTGTTTCGTAGGTTTAGTATAGGACAAGATTTCGTGTTTTTTTTTCAGTTTTGTGGGTCCCTAGAATCTGATGAGGTTGTCCAGGTCGTTTCTATTATCTCCTCTAGTGTCTGGTGAATCTACTGGAGTAGTATAGTTGTTGCATGGACCTTTCAGAGCTTCCATTTCCATAAATATTAATAATCAGAGTCTAGGCTTTGTTAATTGTTTAACTCACTCCAAAATTTTTTCTTATTTTCATTTAAAAATTTCTTGACCAGCGCCTCTCCCATTCTTTCATCTGCTCTCCTTTTTGCACTCTCTTACCTTTCTTTTTCCTCTCCATATACTCTACTCTTCTTATAACACTTCTGCTTTGTAAAACTCTCAAAACCTTCAAAAAAATCAATCAAATCAATCAATCAATATCTATCTCAATATCTCAATATCTCAATATCTATCTATTCTATTATTCTATCTCTCTCTCTCTTCATCTCTCTCTCTATATATATATATATATATATATATATTATATATATAAATTATATATATATATATTTATATTATATATAATATATATATATATATATATATATAAAGAGGGGGGTAAAGGAGGTTTTGTGGGCGACGGGGCTTGGACTTCCTGCAAGCGTGCATGAGCGTGTTAGATAGGAGTGAATGGAGACGAATGATACTTGGGACCTGACGCTCTGTTGGAGTTGTGAGCAGGTAATTATTTAGTGGATTGGGATTCAGGGAAAGAACCGGTTATTTCATTATAGTCAGACTTGAGTCCTGGAAATGGGAAGTACAATGCGCTGCACTTTAAAGGTGGGGTTTGGGATATTGGCAGTTTGGAGGGATATGTTGTGGATCTTTTTATACGTATATGCTTCTAAAACTGTTGTATTCGGAGCACCTCTGCAAAAAGCCAGTGATTAATGTTGTCGAGTGTGGTGAAAGGTGTTTGAATGATGATTGAAAGTATTTTCTTTTTTGGGGATTTTCTTTCTTTTTTTGGGTACCCTGCCTCGGTGGGAGACGGCCGACTTGTTGAAAAAAAAAATAAAAAAAAAATATATATATAAGGAGGTACCACCTCTATAACTGGACTGGGGACCCTCATCCTCAGAGAAGACAATAAACGTACCTCTGGGAAACTCAAAGTTCTCCCCTGGAGCTGCGTGAATATTTTCCTCTCCTACCACCCCCTATATTTTATATTTCTATTGGAAAATTTATTAATTGACAGAATACATTTGCAGACACTACAAACATGAATACAATGGTACAATATGTTAAAAGATTATGGATTTCCTCCAGCTCCCTCCGAAGCCGGACGCGAGCCAAGTATGCCAGCCAAGCATTTCCCCTCTGGATGACCATGTTGAGGCGCTGGAACATGGAAGGTGGCTTGCCCTTGGGTCCCTGGTGGTGTCGATGTGGAGGGGGGGGGTTCTGGAACCCAATTCTTTAAGGAAAATATGTGGCCATTTTTTCCCCATGATCCAAGGTCTTGATCTCATGGAACAAATTGTATGTTGGCTTAAGTCCCTGCACTTGCTGATCTTGTATCTCCCTTGTGGTCGGCAGCTCCCTCCCTGGTCACCCGATACTCGTGGACAGGACAATGGTGTCAGCCAGTGTGGCCACACAGGCCATAGTTCCCATGCTAAGAGCTTGCCATTCTTCCAAGGATAGATGGTGATCCCGTCGGGGCGGTTTGCTGGGTTGTGGGTATTGGTGGCTGCTAGTGATCAGGGCTCCCTCTCGGCTGGGCATGCAGCTGTAGCAAGGGTTCTCTTTTGATGTCGTTGTTTCACTGTGTCTTGCATTGCCTGCCTTGGTTTTTGGGAACAGTTTAAGACCCATCTTTTTTTTTTTTTTTTTTTTTAACAAGTCGGCCATCTCCCACCGAGGCCCGAGGCAGGGTGACCCAAAAACAGAGAAAATCCCCAAAAAGAAAATACTTTCATCATCATTCAACACTTTCACCTCACTCATTATATTATATATTATATATATTATATTTATATAATATTTATATATATATATATATATATATATATATATATATATATATTATATTTATATATATATAATACAAGATGCATTTAAACCCAGTCATACTGCACCCTGTGAGATGGAGGGCAATCACGTTTGATCCAAGGGGGGAAATCCACTTCCTTGGATCAAGAGCCCCTCAGCAACATCAAAATACTTCCCTTGAGGGGAGGGGAGAAGGGGGGAGACAGGATGTGGCAGAGCAGCACCTACTTCAAGCTCCTCAAACAACATAACATATACACATACACCTAGAAGCCATCCCATACAGCACACTACAAGGTACATGTAACTCACCAGAATCATAGTGCCACAGTAGTGCCACTGGGAGGGGGAGACAATGTCTGGCAGCACCTACTTCAAGCTTTTCAAACAACATAGCACACACACATACACCTAGGTGCCATCACATACAGCACACTACAAGGAACAAGCAACTCACCAGAACCATAGTGCCATAGTAGTGCCACTGGGAGAGGGGAGCCATCATCTGGCAGCACCTACTTCAAGCTCTTTAAACAGCATAACACACACATACACCTAGGTGTCATCATATACAGCACATACAATGCACAACCAACTCACTGGGACCATAGTGCCATAGTAGTGCCACTGGGAGAGGGGAGCCATCATCTGGCACCACCTACTTCAAGCTCTTTAAACAACATACCGAACACAACATACACCTAGGTGGCCTCATATACAAACATGCACTGCCCCCCCCCCCCCCCCCCCCACACCCACCGGGACCATAGTCCGCCATGTAGTGCCACGGGAGAGGGGAGCCATCATTTGGCAGCACCTACTTCAGGCTCTTTAGACAGATACACACCACTACACCTAGGCTGTATCATATACAGCACATACAATGCACGACCAACTCTCACGGGACCTTAGGGCCTTAGTAGTGCACTGGAGAGAGGGAGCCATCATCTGGCACCAACCTACTTCAAGCTCTTTAAACTACATTAACACACTCATACACCTAGGTGCCATCAATACTGGCACCATTACAAGGCACAGGCAACTCACCGAGATTCATTGTGCATAGTAGTGCCACTGGGAGTGGGCCACAAAAATTCGGCTGCTTGTCGTGTTGTCAATACAGCGTCAGCGCCATCTCTTGCCTCTTACACCAATTAAAAACATTAAAAAATTGATACTAGAAATATTAATTTTTATTTTCAAGAACGTTTTGAATTGTAGCTAATAAATTGAAAAGCTCATACAATGTATGCATTATTCAAATACCATATTTTCAAAAAGAAAATTATTTATACCATGATACAAAGAAAAAAATATTTAATTATAATAATAATCTTTTAATTTACAAGTACATGTACAAGGTATACAGTTCCTAGGTATGACATCAATGACATACTATATATATACAAAGCGCTTGTTATGTGAAACATTTCCGCAAATTAGCGTCAGTTTTTTCCCTTTTTCCAGGATGCGACCCACACCCAGTCCAATAACACCCAGGTACCCAATTTATGTGATGGGGGGGAACAGACAAACGGTGTCCAAGAAACGCGCAATGTTTTTCTTACCCTCGCTGGGAATCGATCCAGACCCTCGCCGAGGAAGCCGAGAGCTTTAGCCACCTGCAAGATCAGTACATAAAAACTTAGATGAAAAGATGAATTGGAAACTTTGCAATATCAGGTATGAAGGGCGAAATGTGGCTTATCAGTTCAATACTGAGCTTATTAAGACCATAACTATAGCAGGCCTACTCTGACTATGTCACACAAGAATCTATTAAACTTTATTGCCAACACTTATGCACTTTTGTCTTGTTCTTCAGATGTACTATTAATCAAAACTCCTAAGCCTTTTCTGTCGCATTCTGATTAGAGATTTACGTGTTTTGGTTTGCGTTGCCATAGTTATTTTCTTTTCCGGAATAGAAACTTACAATTGTCTACATTAAAACTGCGATGTCACATATCGCCACAACATCGTCTTACTGGGGACCCGTGCAGGACTATGGCTTGGCCGTACATTATACATACATACATCAGTCTTACTGGGTCATTTTGCAGTATCTTGTGTCTGCATCCAGCAATTAACTGACAGGAATTCCGACTTTTGGGGTTATCCTAGGTAATTTACACATGTATCTAGATATATATATATAATTGTACTTTCGTGGTACCTGTACTAGATAAAAAAAAATAAAAAACAACTTAGTGGATGATTTTCAGTGTTATATATTGAACAGTGGTCACAAAAGCAATCATCATACTGGAATCATGTTCCCCTCAAGAAGGTTCCTTGATTGTTGGGTGAAGGGCTCTTGATTTAGGGAATGGATTGTGCCTCCTGTTCCCCGAATTAAGCTGAATGCCTTCCACATCCCCCCCCCAGTTGCTGTATAATCCTCGGGTTTAGCGCTTCCCCTTGATTATAATAATAATAAATATTGGAAATCCTGTTTTAAAAGACGATTTTTTTATTTTCTTCAGAATCTTATGAATTTTAAACCCGTCTTCCAGAATGAAATCCTGGGTTAAACTTTCCCGTAGGAGGTATTGATAAATAAGCAGTTTATTCAGGTGTAGGGTAACACTAAATGGTACATTAAATTTATCATACATAGCAGCATATGTGTAATTACCTAGAATACCCAAAAAAGTCGAAGTGGTTATTTCATTGGGGTCTTTGATTTTAGTAGACATTAGATACAAGGTTAATTAGTCTCGTAACCTTGGTTTTGAGTCCGAAAATAGACGGTTTTCTTTGGTTAGGTACGGTTTGTCAGGAAACCCAGGACAAGTGTTTCCGAACACGGGTTTGTAATCATATGATGATCCACAGCTGGAGTTTTTGGTCATGGTGACGTGACGGCCAGCAGTAACAGCTGGTTGATCAGTACTTGACCCACCAGAAGCTGTTCACAATAGGGCCCGCGGGGGCGTTGACCCCCGAAACCCGCTCCAGGTATACTCCAAGGATGCCTTCACTGGCTTACCGGTCCATAACATTAAAATAAGGTTTTATTTATAACCATTTATTTTATTCGAAGCACAGAGTAAAAGACGCATATATGCCAGTCATTTGAGGTGCTGCGGTTGAAGGTACTGTAAATTAAAAAAACAACTTTGTGTTTCATCGCCTTGTTTAATTATTACAGCAGTCACAGTCACACGTTGATCACTCCTTGTGTTGCAGATACCTAAACAAAACTCCTGCAGTAAATACTCTAAAATGTTTATTTGGGCTCATTTGAGGTAGGAATATTATCGACAGGTGTGGTGTCTACCAAATTCTGTCTCATTAAAAAAATCATTTAGGTCTTGGGACTCTCTGGCTAGTGGTCGCTAAAAACCGAGTCTCTACATATTATTGGGACTCTAGTTGGTCATCATTGCCTGCTGTCATTCTTAAACCGCTCTGCCCGCTATGTAGGACCATTCCGTTTAAGTAGGCCAATACTGGATGTTGTGCTCTCGACTTTGATTTGCATAGAAATAAAATGCTTTGGGTTTTTGCAATTGCATTTATGGCTTTTAGTTCTTCCCGCGTTTCTTGACTCTGTAAGATTCCTTTATCTTAGTTCGATGTTTGCTGTTGCTCTGACCAGTGTTCCCTACGTATTCAGATTATTGACCTCTTGTAGCCGCTCTGTTATTTCTTTGACCTTTGCCTGTATAGGGAGCGCCTTTCTCTTTCTAGTTTACATCTCCTTTTCTTAAGGGAAAATGCCTTGAGCATTACCTCAAAAGTGCCAGAGAGTTAATTTGAATCTACGCCCAGTTCGGCAGATCGAACTAAGTGATATGCGCATCGCTTTCATAAAACCTCAGCATTTTTTCTCATGAAAGTTGACCGAAGATCACTATCTATATTGGGAATCTGTAGATCACTACCCTTGGATATTTGAGATAAATTAGTGCACTAAACTAAATTAGAGCTTAAGGGCTCTTCTATATAATATGTCATGATGGTCAGCGCTTGGTTATGTATAAGTTGTATCATATAGCTTGAAGAAATTAAAGATTATTAGATTAATTAATTTATTATTATTGTACGCAGCCTTAACTAAGTTATTCGATTCTGCATGGAACAAATGTGTTGATTTCATGGATTACATAGTTAGACTATTCTTTTATTCCTGGACTTGTGATCAAATTTATTTAAATCGACACAAACATAATAAGTTTATTTAAAGGCAAATTAAGCAAAAATGCCAAGTGATAATAAGAAATTAATAGTAATTTAGGTATTCATCGACAAAATGGACATGTTACAGTCAGCTGACTTGTAAAACAGTACTTCGACTTAACAGTCTGTGTATGATAATTACACAGATATCAATAGATCATTACTTGCTACTAGAATAAGTACCTACTTATATTCAACGAAATTGATATAGTTTGATAAAATAAGTGTACGTATTAGTAGATTTATAGCTTATTATACTTTTGATGAAATGTCATAATGTGTAAGTAGTGATCTATGACCGGGTAGAAGTCAATGTTTGTGTACACTTGTAAACAGTGAGAAAGAGGTCAACCCACACGCGATTTTTGTCGCAAAAAGACATAATCACCTAAATTATTCATCCAGTTTCAGCCTTACTTTCCAAGATTACGCCTAAGTAACGTATAGGCTTCAGGATAGCACTTTTGCAGTCATCAGCAGATAAACTTGAAAGTTCTGAACTTGCACTAGAAATGTCCGAGAAGGATAAAAGTAATATTCTTTCCTTCAGAGGGTAAGTTTTATTTAATGTAGTGCATGGTTGGAAGCTTCTTTTCTTCTAACTATAATTAAAAAATGTTTATCTTCTTAATTATGACATTTAATTTTTTATATTTAAATCCTATACTACCTAAGAAACTCTATAGAAAAAGTTCCCTCGAAATTTCGTCACAGCTAAGAGGAATTGTTCATATTTTATAAGAGGTATCATTGGATGAGTTTTGTATTAGTACATTATAATATTTTACGAGACTTTTGTAGTGGTGGTTGCTCTCATGAAAACTGCAATGGGTATATACCCATTCAGTGGGTTGGTAATTATTACTACAATCAAAAGTGCTAAACCCACAAGGGCCATACAGCACTGCATGTGGATGTGCTAAAGTTGAAATATACAGAGATCAAAGACCAGTTCTACCTACCTGGAGGGTATTCTGGGGATCAACGCCCCTGTGGCCGTTGGATCAGGGTCTGATAAGGTAAGATGATAAGATTTTGTTCGGATTTTTAACCCGGTGGGTTAGCCACCCAGGATAACCAAAGAAATCAGTGCGTCATCGAGGACTGTTAACTTATTTCCATTTGGGGTCCTTAATCTTGTCCCCCAGGATGCGAACCCACACTAGTCGGACTACACACCCAGGTTCCATATTGCTGCACTAGGTGAAACGGACAACAGGTGTAAGGTACGTGTCAAAATGCTTTCCCACCCGCCGGGGAATCGAACCGGGCCCTCGTGTTGTGAACGCGGGAGCTTTAGCCACCAGGCCACGGGGCCAGGCTGTTACTGCTGGACTGCGCATAGTCCAACGTACGAACCACAGCCTGGCTGATCCAGCACCGACTTTAAGTATCTGTTCAGCTCCTTCTTGAAGGCAGAAGGGGCCTATTGGTAATTCACCTTATGCATGGTGGGAGGCTGTTGAACAGTCGGGTTCCCTGGACACTTAGTGTTTTC